TGAAACAGCTCTGGCCACCGACACAGGCATCAAGCTAGAATGAACTAAGGACTGTACCTCTGCTTTGCCCCTGATTGATATAAGAGTAACACCACCAATCAGGTATCTTCTTGCCAGGGTGTTGCCTGTAGATTTTAATAAAGAAAACTCAAACCTTTCAGGTGTGTAGACTGGTTTGGTTATAATTACAGCTCCTTGATTTTTATTGGAGTGTAAGTTACATACATAGTTTTAAAGTGAATTGTTGAATAGCTAGTTACAAAAGAAGAAACGTTTTGGATTTTCAAACTTTGGCTAGTTCTCATTTCATTAGAATATACCTTGAGTTGACATCTGACTACAGGTGCATTGAGGTCACAGTATGAATGCTGGGTATGCTGATTTTTAGCCTTTGGGAGTTAATGACTTCTCCAAAGGCGTCATAATACTCAGTCATGCCGTGGCTTCTAGAACAATTTGCTGTGTAAGGATTGTAATTTTGAAGGCCTTTTGTTGGTCTAAACAAATTATGACGAACAGCCTTGTTAAGAAAATATCTTGAAAGACATGTTGATCATTTGCATATAGAACACAGGCAGAACAGACCTCTGACTTCTGTGCCTAGCTGTTTAAAACAGTGCTTCAGATTCTTTGGGGAAACTCCTCAGTAAAAGTCTGACTTCTCACCCTCATATGAATTCTACCCAGTGAACTACTAGCACCATTTCTGCATCCTATGATAGTGGCCTCATCTTGTGGGACCTACACTCTGTCCTAATGGAGAGATGTTTCCTCAGGACTAGTATTTCGAATTACTGGAGTGTGCATTTTATGTTGATCCGATGCTGCTGGGAAGAGCTTGTTTAGGCCTGTCATGGCCATTATAGGAGGAACCATTTTGAAGATTTGACCTTAAATAGCACACACATGTTCATCCTTTAAAAAGTCTTTTAAAAACACAACTATATTGTAAAGTAGCAACAGATGCAATTTATTGCAAGTCTGCTTACCGCAGTATGTCTGACTAACCATCTAAGGTTTTGGTGAGAAATGTATTTTACTTAAGTTCATGTTTTAAACACTAGTCGTAGGTGAAGACAGTAAGCATGGAATGAACTTAGTGGTTGGATGTGGATTTATGGATGGTGGACTAAATCAGACACACTGAGGTTTAGTTAGAATTTTCCTCCATAAGACTCATTGTTTTTGTTTTAAAAATATGTGATATATATAGACCTATATGGCAGATTGGGTGTTCACTAAATGCCATTTTCAATATGTTTTGTTTCTTCCAATTCTCAGAAGCCAATACTATGAAATCTTGCTAAAAAATTTAATACTTGGACATATATTTATAATTGTCTGACAAGATTAACAGTATGTCCAGGGGTGTGAACTTTCTTTTTCTTTTTTTTTCATCATAGAAGTGTATTCTATCTCAATAGGCAGAAAAGATAGAATTTTGGGACTCCATAAATGTGTGTGGATCTTGCCTTTAGCTGAGTTTCTCTCTGTCTTTTGGCAAGTCACTCTATGATCCTCAGTTTTTCCATCCATAAAATAGGGATAATAACACTTCTCAGAGCTGTTGTGATATACAAGCAAAGAACATACATATGGGGATACATATATATATATATATATTTGCCTATCCATCCATATATATATCCATACACATATATATCACATTCAGCCATACAAACATACATCAAACATACATACATGTAAACACACATAGCTCCAATGCCTGGCATGTATAGATGGCTTCATTTTGATGCTCAGTAAAGAAAACTTGTGACTATCATTCTACTTACCTCTCATTCTCTTCTGTTCCATTCTCTATTATGGTTGTCCTTCATCTCTTTCATTCTTACATTCTTAGCCCCACCATTTCATTGAAAAGATAAAGGCTCCACCGCCTAGATTCTCTCGACATTTCACTCCTCTGCCTCAGAATTTTTTTGTTTAAGTCTCCTTTCCTCTTGACTAAAACAAGCTGTACTTGGGGCCATTATCTCTCATCTTCAAAACCTTGCTCTTCTCTCTTCACAGTGCATTCAGCTGTCCTCAGTTTCTCTGCCTCAGTTTCTCTGCCTGTGATTCATCCTTCCTGCCACACTCCTCTCTCTTCTACACTTCTCTCTTTCAGGAAAAGTTTTCTGTGCCTCCCCTTTGGTCTGTGCTTTCATATTTGTTATTGGTTGTCTGTTGGCAGGAACTGTTTTGTTACTAAGAGACTTTTAGTTCATGTCAGAGGGAAAAAAAATAGATCTGGTGCGAAATGATTAACCTGAAATAGTACAAGCTTCTATCACTGTAAAATAAGTACAAATCATACTGCAAATGAAGAAAAGACAAAAATCCATACCTGTTTTAAAGAAGCATATATACAGGGTAGGGCAAAAATAAGTTTACAGTTGTGAGTGTGGGAAAGTTTATTCTTGTGTTGTTATTAATTATTGTATTATTTTCTATATGAACAGCTGTAAACCTATTTCCCCATGCTGTACAGTAGTCCCTACTTATCCACTGGGGATACTTTCCAAGACCCCCAGCGGATGCCTGGAACTACAGAGAGTACGGAACTCTATGTACACTATATTTTTGCCTATCCATACATACCTATGATAAAGTTTAATTTACAAATTAGGCACAGTAAGCATTAACAATGATAACTAATACAATAGAACACTAAAACAATACACAGTAATAAAAGGTATGTGAATGTAGTGTCTCTCTCTCTCTCTTCCTCTCTGATAACTGATCTGATAATTGAGGTGGCTACTAAGTGACTAGCAGACAGGTAACACATCTGCAGTGTAAATACACTGGGCAAAGGGATGATTCACATCCGGGTAAGAGGGTAGGCATGGCACGAGATTTCAAGTGCTACTCAGAATGGTATGCAATTTAAAGCCTATCAATTATTTATTTCTGCAATTTTTTCATTTAATATTTTTGGGTCACAGTAACTGAAACCATGAAAAGCAAAACTGTGGATAAGAAGAGACTACTCTTGGTGTAAACATCAGTTTTTAATTAGTAATCCTTAACTCATAAATTGGCTTCATGATAATTTTGTATTTCATATTGAAATAACTGTCAGTTTATGGACAACTGTATCTTCAGATATTTTTTAGATATTAAAGGACATGATATCCCTATGTCTGCCCTTTGCATTTAGTCATTTCAGGGATAAAGCTATCTCCATCTCATTATGTCATTTTAATTTGTTGGACTGTTTAAAATTAACCTCAGAAGATGTCTTCCTGTTACTATTTGGTATAGACTTTCCTATTGCAGAGTAAAAGTGGGCATACACATTGTAAAAATATACATAGAGGTCTTCAGTGTATATTTCTTCTTGAAAGCAAGTGCTTAAAGTATCCCTGTGGTCATTATTGTAATCATACTGACATTTAAATAGGGTATCGTTATGAGCTCTTGCTCAGTTCTAGAGTTCTAGGTTCTAGAGATACAGCTGAGGGGAGAAGGAGAGAGAGCGGGCAGACCAAAGTCTCTGCCCTTGTGGAACTTATAAGAACTTTATTACAGTGAAGGAGTCTAGCCTTCCAAAACCACTTGGCGTGTATATTTGCAATAACCTGTCAGCTGGAATAGAACTGCATTTCCGTCATCACACGATGGATTTCCTTCTGGGTTTTAAAAATAATGGTCTTGTAAGTGTAACCCGGTTTTCCTCGGACAGATGTGTTGGTGTCAACGTTAATGTGAACCTGCTGCTGACTGAAGATCTCTTTTGACCCTAATGTTTTAGGGTTCTCCCACCATGTCTTTCTAGAAGGGGATACGCAGCCCCAAGAGCGACTGATCAGCCAGTCCTTAGGGGAAAACATCCCGCTCGCTCGAGGTCGAGTGAGCACTCTAGTGTCAGAACCCTGTGTTCTGTCCACCACCTTGGCCCCGGAGGGTCGGCGCCACCTTCTCCGCTTCTGACCAGGTCGCTATTCAGTGTCCAGCTCAGCATTCATGTCCTGCCTCCGGGTGTTGGTGTGGTGTTGTACCTTCCCGAACACCCCACGCTTTCACTCATTACGACACCATGACTCTGACTCCGCTCTTTGTGACACTTGAACCTCTCCCACATCCTCTCTTACTTGCATCTATTTCCACTGTGCTGGTGGTATTCTCTAGTTTCTGCCAATTAGCTATCATTAACGATTAAATTTGGCTGTTTTATGTCCTTCCATCATCTGTTTGTGGCATATCCATATATATATATATATATAAATTTTTAAGTATATGGAGTTCTTTATAAGATATCATGTGGAATCAAATGTCTATTTGCTTTAAAAAGTATAAGAAATTAAAAAAAAAAATTTTACAGGTGCTTAGTAAAAGCTTAGTTTTAAAGGTGTTTAGTGAAAAGAAAGTATGTTTCAATGCCAGCAGGTGGAGGTCAGCTTACTCCTGCACGGTGGTAACATATCTGCCTGCTTCTAACATTTTTATTTGTAATTTCATAACATGTGTCCAAGGTTATTTATTTTTAAATCTTTTAATATTTTCCTATTTAAAAATAAAGTACATGGTGATATATATAAAGTCTGCAACTACAGCTGTTTTTATCACTTATAAATAATTCTCAGTAAAAATGTGAATTAAATAGTAGCATTTAGGTAACAGCCTTTCTTATTTAATGTACCCATGCTGTGAAGATTCAGAGGCTGGGAGTACATATATTTGGCTTGGCACGACCAAAAATTGATAACGTAATAGAAAGCCACAGCTTCAGGGGAAGTTCATGAAAAGAAGTGAGTCCGAGTCTGCCCAGGTTGGGAATTTATTATTCAGAACTGTGTGACAGACACTGGCCTACCTCTTTTAGCCCCTTTGGGTAATGGTTTTACACATATAGTAAAAAGTATTTCATTTTTCTTCCAAAGGCCTTGTTATGGATTTTATACTGTATTAATAGTGACAGGAAGAAGGAAAAGGTTTTTGTCAGGCCCTCTTGGGAGTTTATGGTTTCATTTCCCCCCTTTGTTGTTTGTTCCCAGGACACACCGACAAGGAAGTCCATCCCACTCTCCTCCTGCGGACACTTCCTTCAGCAGCCGGAGGGGCAGACAGCTCCCACAAGTGCCAGTGAGAAGCGGCAGTATAGAACAAGGTATCCACTAAAGAGAGATGGTTGTCCAAAAATCTTGGGTTTGAGAACCACCTCTTTTGATATGTCTTTTAGTAAACAAATAGTATTTTGATTACATGTAGTTTGCTGAATCCTAAGAATTTAAGTTTCTTAGAATTTTATTCCCAGCACCAAGTTATAATGGTTCATGATGGAGACTGTGTTTTTGCTAAGTGAGTGAATGAATGAATTTTAGTTGGTCCATTGAAAGGATGGGTTGAGCCCTGCAGATACCTTTTTTTTTTACAAAGGACAAAGAAGGAAAATTATATTTTTAAAACTTCAGTGCACTATGGTATGTTGTATTAAAAGAAGAGTTATTTGACCTTGTTTTTCAAATATGTCCTTGATTAAATACTTATTCACGTAGAAGTCTTTACTAATGTGTTTTATTTGAAATTATTTGCAAGATCTTGTGTTTTTGTATAAATTTGGTAAAAAGTGGTTTACAGTACACAGTTCAGTGTTTTGTTAACAGTTTGTATTACTTAAACTTTTTTTTTTAAGAATATACACACTGTGTTTTATTTTCTTGGAATTGGGTGGGAGTATTTTGATAATGGAAATAAATTCCCTAAAATATCTTGACAAGATAATTTAAATATTGGGTTAAAATAGTCACTGTGTCCTCCATGTGACCTGAGGTGCTATTCCATTTCTCAGTAGGCGAGATGATGTATTATCAGTGCTGTATATGTTATCACATATCTTAACAGGGAATTGTTAAGCAGTTTCCTGGAATAATTTTTAATTTAGGGTTCTAACATAAATGCAATGGACTCACATTCAAGACATAATCAATTAAAAAAAAAGACATGTATTATAAAACTTTATTTTTTTTGAAACAACTAAAAGGTTAACATCTTGAATAATTTTTCAACAGTGTTGGTTGTTAGCGATGTTTGCTTGTATTCCACTCTGAGTTGAGAGTGTTGGGTACCTGTTTCCTCACCTATTTGAAGTGCTCTATTGAATGTATCATAGAATGTTAAGAGTTCTAAAAAGATAAATGCATTGTTTACAAGACTGATATGACAGAATTGGTAAGCAGAATACTTGGTTATAGAAACATTAGTGTAGATTTTTAGAAGGACCCGCTTATTCATAGAGGTATGCTGCTCTAGTAATCTCTGGGTTTGTATTGTTTTTAAAAATCATACATCCCATTGATATGTAATGCTTTGCTATGCAGGCTTCATATACAGGTACCTAGTTCATTGGGAAAATATGAAATGTTTTCTTTTCTAAAATAGCAATTCCCTGGAATTCTCATTCATATGTTTAATAAGTTTTCTTTTTCCTTGGGAACATTTTGAGAAGAGAATTTGTAATTTGTGTTATTAAGACTGTAATTAGCAATAGCGATAGCCTAGATGAAATGGATTTAAAAAAAAATTTGGTGTTTATGTAAATTATCAAGTCATGTCTTCCTGTTGCACAACTAAACAAACCATGCATTTTGGTGTTTAGCTGCAAACTTAGTATTACTGGTCATATCTTGCTCAAGATTGAAATCTAAAAAGTCATGTGTTCCTAAAATTCTTTGCATTTCCTCCAGTTGCCGAAACACTTCAGGTTCAAATCAAATAAGGGTACTGCTTATAACTCTCATATAGTGAGGTTATAGTTATATTATTTCTGTAAAATAAGAATTGCATCTTTGAAATCAGTTGGATTGTATGTTGGGTTTGAGTGTTTAAAAAAAGCTCATGTTCTATCAACATTACTATTTATTATATTCATATTCACAGTTGTCTTTCAGATAAATCATCAATTTGTAAGGATTGAATTGAGGTGGTAAGAAATGAATGACTGAGGATGAAATTGGTGGCGTAATTTTGCTATTTAACATCACAAAGACAATAGTAACCATTTACTTGAGTTTCCTGAAATTCGTGGTTATATAAATTCAACCTATTAAGAATATAACAACACATCTTATATCTCAGTGTTTTTCTGAAATTAAAATAGATTTGGTTTATTTTATGATATGTGCTTAATATGTGCTTTGGATAAAAATGTCCATCATGTTATTGCTGACTTATTTCAAACTTAACAGTCTTTGTGTATCCTAAAATATGTTTTTAAAAGTACACTTCTAATTTGATCCATGGACTAGACAGAATTTAGCACATTCTACTTAACATTGACTGCATTGTTTTTCTTAGGGCTACAGAATTAATTTTTTTCTTTTGATATTATTTGTTAAACTTTAGTTCTATTTCTTTGAAGATTAATGCAGTATATTTGCAATTGATTAAGGCTCTACTGTAGTTGGCTTCCTTCCTTCCAGTCTTTTTTTTTTTTTAATTTTTAAGGGGATATTTTTCATTTTTTTAAAAATAATTGAGCTGATAAGCAGTTGATTGGTAAGAGCTAATATTCCAAATGGTTAGATTCCTGGATAGTGAAACAACTTCTTGTTAATGTTATAAATAATTTTATTAAAACACAGTTTCTGGATACCGTTGTCCATATTGTTGTGTTTAGGATTCATGTTGAGATTATTAGTTTGGGCTTTTGGTTTGTTTGTTTTATTTTTCTGTAATTCAGTTTTACTACTCTCTCTTTATACTATAAAAGCAATATGTGTTATTTTAAAGGCCACCGTATCATTTGAAAAAGCATTTTTACTTAATTTCTTATAACACTGTATTTCACAGTGTTGTTTTTGATTTAGGAATGTCATGTGGAATTTATGTTAAAATTTTGTTTGGGGAAAAGAAGAGGATCAATTACAGTACAGATTTTCAGATAAAGTAGCTGAAAAAAATTGCCTTAAAATTTAGGCAATTCAAATGGTATTATGATAATTGAGAACAAAGATTTTCAAGAAACTTACCTGGTTATATTTCAATGTTGTATGCCAATGTCACCCTTATATAGAATGAGGCTTGAAAACAATATATTGTTTGCATAAAAATGTTGTATGGTATTTTTCTGAAACTAATGATTTTTTTTGTTCTCAATTGGATGTCTTTTATAAAAAATGTATTTAAAGATTATTCATGAATTAACACATGCTGTGCCACTTATATTTGTCTTGTTATTATATCTGCTACCCATAGTCTAATGATATTCCTCTTCAGAATTACCTAGATAGACGATTATTTATTAGTAAGTAGTGTACCAACATGGAGGTTGATGTAAAGCTTTATGAAATGTCTAAGAAATATAGTCTCCAAAGAACAATTTCACCAGAACATGTTTTATTATCATTCATTTGAAGAATGGGTTTCTTAAATTATATTTTCCATGTGGAAAATGTTACAGAATATTTTTCATAATGAAAAAGAAAATGCCTACTTCTAGTAAAAAATTGAATTTTTGTCACTGATTATATTAAATTTCAAATTATCTAAAGTGCTATATTTTAAATAAAAGATGTTAGTTATGAATATTAAATATATTTTAAATGTTTTATAATAAAAAGTCACAATGGATTAAAATTAAAATGTTTCAGTAAATTGATTCTGAAATATTTTTAATTCTTATAAAGCAAGAAAAAATATCACAAAATATACTTTTCAAATTCCAAATGTATTAATTTTCCAGTTTCTGTTTATATTTTAAATATCTAAAATTGTATTCATTCGTTCTTTGGTTAATTTGAGAACCATATTTGAGATTTCCTCATGTTTGTCATTGTAATTTATCATGTAACGTTACATGTTATACCTTTCTATTATTCATACCATTGTGTTGATTCACATTTTCATGTCTAACTATAAATTTGCTGATTTTTTTCTTTTGTTTCCATCATTATGTGCATTTAATTCATTGAAGAACAAGAAAAATATAACTCTTCCACAAAAGGTAAATATTAATGTAACTTTTTAACCATTTAAAAGTGTTCCTTTCTTTCATAATATATGAGAAAGTTATATAAAAAGACTTATTGAAATGAGCAAAATTATTTAATAGTAGTTTTTTTACCTGCAGTGATTTTGTAGGACATTTGGTATTACTTTGTATTGGGAGCAGTTCACATCAAAGAAGAAACTATTAAAATTAAGAATATTTATCCACACTGACAACTAGAAAACAATTATTATTTTATATGTTTCTGTTTGTTTGCCCTGCTCTCATAGATAAGGATTTAGTTCATACTTTCTGTTCAGGTTAATATCTGGTTACAAAGGAATAGAAAATCCCTGGATTTTCCCTTCTAGATAACATTAATTGTATTGAATGTTTGGTTCCCACTGCAGTCGTGCATCTAGGAGGTAGCTGCCAAAATATTACTCCTCAGGATATCAATATTGTTTTAATGCCCATCAATTCTATCTTCCCAAAGGACAGAGGAAGAAAACCATTTGGGCTGCTGTGTTGGCACATTGTCACCATCCTATCTTGCTGTCTTTGGATCACATTTGATTTTTTTTGGCTTTGGACTTGAGTTTCAAGTACATGCACTCTCATGTGCCACTCATCCCACTCTCATGTGCCACTCACATCATTTTCTATTCAGTGTCATTTTTGTCCTGATAGTTAAATATCTGAGCATGAGTTTTTGCTTAATGAAATAAGTCTTATAATACTTAAAATTATATAATGCTTTATAATGTAATAAAACACATTTACTCAATGTTTTCAGATTAATGATTGAATCAGTTTGTTGTCCATAGTAACCCTAAAAGTCCTGAGAGTAGCATCATCCATATTATGAATGATAAACTCAGGTTAGAGAGATTAAAACCCATTAAGACCCAAGAGATTGACCCATTCACACTGCTGATGAATAGTAGAATATGAGCCAGGTGTTTTACTTTTAACCTACTTCCATTATACTAATAGTAGATTCTTTTTTAATAGAATCCCAAATACATTATCCAAAACTTCTAGTATATTAAGGTATGTTTTATGTATCTCAGTGTTCTAGTGTGGGAATGTGAGTTAATATTCAGTTACTATTTTAGTTTGAATTTACAAACTATAATGCATACTCTGGCATAATGTCATACATACTAGTCAATAAATAT